AGACTAACATCCCACGAGCAAACCTGTACCATGATACTTACGCAAAGGAGTTGACAGTGGTGTATCCAGAGGGACACTCAGGGATGCAGGCTCCATTATGGATCACATACTCGTGACAGTCGATGTTCTTGCTGCGTTCTTTCTCTCTCTTGCACTTGTTGTGGAGGTCCTGGCAGAAGGAGAAGGGCACGCACCTCCAGCCCCGGTAGAGGTAGTAGTTTGGGGGACACTGCTCCACACAGGTGTCCTGGTGCTGAAGCCCCCTACAGGCCACACAGTGCTCTACAGAGTTGGGTTTAGAGCAGCCGCCCAGACACTGCTCGTGACAGCACTGACCGTCTTTGGTGCAGGCGCGGTGCTTACAGTGAGCGGGACACACTGGAGGAGACAAGGACAAAACAAAGGATATCAGTCAAACGCACCAGAGGAATACAGGGAAGAATTCTCTAGCCACAAATAAAATGGTTGGAAATTCATTTATAATCAATCAAGTCATTTCAAGCCAGGCCCTCTAGGGAGTCTTATTTAGCCTGAGATGGGGTGCTGACATTTGTAATGATTAATGATTATTAATGTTGGCTTTCCAATGAAAAATAAGTTTAGGCATCCCAAACTACAAAGTAGTCATTATTCATTCACTCCACACTTGGGGATGCTAAGCTACTTGTGTAGCCACAGCTGCCCTGAGACTGATGGAGTTAATGGTGCAAATCAAACATCCACACACCACATAGGACTACAGGACAGACTGCTGCTGTATAATGGATATACTTTTGTAATCCCTAAACAACAATCACACATCCCCCTTTTATCACAGAACAGCTTGAAACCAAAGAATCTCCCAAAAACTTGTATTAAGAAAAGCTGACACCCCTGCTGAGCCCAGAGACTTGGATCAGGACTGTGTTATATATTTGAAACCTTGAGGCAGGAGTTAAGTCCCAACATGAGTCCTGGCCCAGAGGATTCAGAGCTGTTAAAGACATGACTGAGAACAGTGGGGATCCTCCTCCAGCAAAACACACCAGGTTTAAACAGAGATACAGAACTGATAACACTGATAAGTCAACTGAAGCAAGTGTTTAACAAATTATAATTCTGTATTTAATTTTGGTTTATTTACATAGACACCAAGTTTCAAAATAATAGATTATAGCAAAAATAAGCATCAAGTAATGGAGATAATGCCAATTTTGTATTTTAATGTGGTTTTTGTGTCTTTGTGCATATTCTATGTGTTTTTATTGGTCAAAAGTAACTTGAAGCACATGCATTCATTCCTGTTGCATACATTTATACAGTGAGTGGGGTCGCCTGCCTCTCCACATATCTGACCTGTAACTTGACCTGCTGCTGCCACGTGTTTGTTTCCATAGAAATAGATAAGCACACTACTCTTCCAATTAAAGCATCTACTATCTAGTTTATGCTCTCTACCCTGAGTACACTAGTCTATAAGAACTTTCTGGCATTTCTTCATTTTTTTTTTTTATTTGTCTATAAAACAAATACTCATCATGCCTGCACTATTATGTTGAAAACAGATAATATTCTAGTGGATTGATTAAGATAACTCACTGTGATTTCCATTTTACAGCATAACTACAGTTAGTCAGTCACAATTTTAATTTTTCAGATTTGCAGACACCTTTTTGGTTGCTGTGGTTACAAATTGTGTTAAATATAAAATTTGTGGAAATGTAAAAATCCATATCACCTCATTTCTCTCTGATCATCTTTCCTTTGATTACTCATGTCAGATTTTGCTGTTTATGTCATTTAAGTCACCTTAAAGGTTCAGAAATCAGATTATAATCAGATTTCGATGTGCATGTGTACACGACCACTGCCTAGACTTGTAAACATTATTTTACGTGTCTCAACAACAACCGTCCTCAAGGCACGACCTGCGCAAATAAGCAAAGAAAGCGACGGGGACTTTCAAGTACACCGTCAACAAACTTATCAATAGCTGGAAATGTACCATCAGCAAGCAATTTGATTAGGGAAGTAGTCAACAATTTAAAGAATATTCTGGTAAGATGGAAAGTAGAGGCCCATATTTTCACTGTTTTTTTGGGATTGGGTCCATGAGACAATTTTTTGTGCCAGTGAAGTCAACTCCATGTCAATTTTGTTTCATGTGGAAAGAATCTAAAAAAGATAATTTAAAGCTAAATAAAAATAAAATTAAGTACTGGAAAATCCATTTCATTATGATGATTGATCAGTTTTGCTTTATGGTTTGCTTTTGTTGGAACATAACATATTTAGATCACAATGTTACCTTTTGTGAAAAACAACGTAAGTTTAATACATTTTAATTAAATTTTTGACACACTGAATAGCCCATCCCTGTGCATTTTGCTAGTGGAAGGTTTGGTAAGTAGTCGTGTTTTGATCTATATTATGCTTTTGTAGAATTATGGAGAATTGCAGTGCAGGAGCTTGGGCAAGATTATATTGCGAACTGTAACTGTAAGGAGGGTGTGAATAGGGCCCGGGAGAGATCACTAAATTACTCAAACGTGCTTAGATGACATATGGTATGTGTGGTTAAGCAACAATGTTATAACATGGAAGAAAGCTGCAAAAAGTCGATTTTGCACAATGCCCCTTCACGCTTTTGGTCATCTTGGGGTAAGTATTTAACATATTCTAAATTAAAATAATGTCTGCATAATGGAAAATATACTACAAGTGTTTTATTTATTTTAATATTTACTGCAATTTTATGATTTTTATGTTTTTGTTTTTGTTTGATTTTACTGGTTTTATTGTTTTAAAACTTTAGCAAGTTACCTTTTTGTTATCTTTCTTTTATGATCTCCGTGCAGCACTTTGGAACTGTTTTGTTCGTAAAATGTGCTATATAAAGAAAGTGGATTTGGATTTGGACAAGTATGTTTTTGATAAGCGAACAACAGCATAAATGGTTTAAAAATAATCTATTTTGCATAATCTATGCTCTTGAATGAGAGCTGTGTTGTCATGTGACGACACGCTGTTTGTTTATGTTCATGTATGTGGGAAATGGTCTTTATGTAACACAGGGCTCATATCACAGGTGTGCACCAGGCTGTTATTTGGAAGAGATATAGTAGAGAGAGAGAGAGACTGAGGGTTGAAAGAAGAAAGGAGAGAGAGCAGGAGGGAGGGAGTAGAGATAGAAAGATAGAACAGGGGAATAGAAGGAGATAAGAGAGGGAGACAGAAAATTAGTAGTCAGTCTGTAATAAACAATGGACAACAGTGAAGCAGGGGAAGCTTATTTAGATCGGCTGTCGTATATGATCAGGACTTCGCTGTACCAGTCCCTCTGTTTGAGAACCGGTGTTTTATAACTCCATGTTTTTCTTTCTGTTCTTCTGACTCAGCACTTTGAGGACATGCTCCAGAACAGATTCGCTTCATTAGTGCTTTTTGGGTCCAAGAAAAACAACACGGACCCCCTGTATCTCTACGTTTCCCTCCTTTATTTATACTCAAGTCTTCCTTCTTTCTCTCATTCTATCATTCTCCACCCCATATTTCACTCTTTCTCCAGCTTTCCTTTCTCTCCTCTCCCAGTTTCCTTCACTCCACTTTCTCTCCATCTCCTTCGATCACTCTCACTTACTTTCTCCCTTTCTCACCCTATTTCCGTCTCGAGCCATTCTTTCTTCCCCCTCTCTCCTCTTTTTCCACCTCTCTCTCCAGTCTGTTCTTCTTTCTCCCTTTTCAATCTCTCCTTCGCTCTTTTCCCATTTTCTTCTCTACAAATTCCTTTTCCCTCTCTCTCTCTCCCTCTCCATTTTTTGCTCACTCCCTATCTTTCACTTTCACTCTTTCTCTCTCTGTTTTTCACTATCCTACCTCTATTTCATGTTCTCTCTTTCTCTTCCCCTTCATCTCTTCTCTGTCCCTTTCTTTCCTTTTCTCTCTCATTTTCACTTTTTCTTTCTACCTTACTCTTTCTCTCCCCCTTCATCTCTCCGTCCACCCTCTCTCTTGGTCTTTCTTCGTCTCTCCCTCTCCCCCTCTTCGCTGTACGAGGTGGGGAAGGTCAGCTGCAACCTGAGACTGGCAGGAGGAAAAGGGGCGACAGAAAAACAAATGATATAACGCCATTGTGGACGTCAGTGCGGGTCCCGATAATCTGAGCTGAGACTTAAGGACTTAGACGGAGCGCAAAACACACAAATCTTTGCTGTTTTGTAAAGTTGGTTTCATAAGGTCACCCCTGAGTAACCACAGATTCTGTCAAAGAAAATACAGGAAAAACTGACAAAATGCAATTTGTTTTTAGTAATCAGCAGAGATGGGACCAAGTCGTTGTTTTGCAAGTCTCAAGTAAATCTCAAGTCTTTGACTTCAAGTCCAAGTCAAGTCCCAACTCAAATACAGGCAAGTCATCTGCTTTGAGCTTCAAGTCATTTCAAGTCTTTAAACCAAAAAAGTACCAAACATAGCTTTTTTTTTTTTGCAATTTATATGAATTTTAAACTAAATTGTACTTAAAAAAAAAAATCATAGTATATTTATATATGAGTATTTATAGAGTATATAAGAGTTGTAGAAATGTAAATTTTTAGTTTTTAAATGTTTTGACAAAATCTTAGACTTGAGAAGCACTTTTAAATCTGAATTCTTTCTGTTCTGACCGTAATGATTCACACTGAGTCAAGTCCCAAGTCATTGACCTTCAAGTCCAAGTCGAGTCCCAAGTCTTAGTCCATTTTATCAAGTCACGTCTCAAGTCCTAAAAATACTGACTCAAGTCTGACTCGAGTCCAAGTCACGACTTGCTATTCCCCACCTCTCTTAATCAATAAATTAAACTTCATCCTCAACAAAAAAAATAGAAATGTGCAAGAAATGTAAATAAGACAATATGCTTTCGTCAGATCTAGTTCTAATGTATGGCACCCATTTTATAATTTGGACCATTTTTGAAAACCCATATTTGGATTTAAGACCAACAGATAACAAAAGATGAATAAACACATAGAAAGTCACATTTTCTGCCTTGACTATCAAACTATAACCACTTATAAAATATATTCAAATTGATAATATTGCTTGCATTACCACAGAATATGACTTTAAGTATATCAAAAAACTAAACAAATCAGGACTGTAAAAGAGAAGCAGCCTTTTTGACAGTCAAATCACCAAGCAGATCATATATGACCAGAAGCAGCATTTCAGAACAGAACTGAATTTTTATCATTTAAATAATTACATGAACATTACACAGTTTTGCTGATAATAAATGTAGATCTAATAATATTTTTGTCTTTTTATGATACCGCCAAACTGAATTCAAATACATGCTAGTACACGTTTTTAGTCTTCCTACTGACAAAGGCATCGCGGTGTGCATTGCTTCAACTGTG